CGTTGCATCTCTGACTGCTTTCTCACGCTGTGTCATGGTAAAATAAATATTATTTATTATATATATATTAATAATATATATTATATATCTCGCAGGCTAAAAACCAGATTTACTCAGAGTGTATGGCAAAATAAATAAATAAATAAATATGTATATAATATACTTTTATCTATATACATATATTTATTTATTTATTTATTCACATATTCCATTTCGTGTGGGCTGAGAGTCAGGCAGTCACACCTAGTATGTGGCAAAAAAGTAAATTAAACAAAATAAATACAGTTATTAAACAAAATAATTAATTAATATTAATATTTATTTAATAACAATAATTACAAAATAAATAAACACGTACGTACAACACGCACGTATCACGCGCTTCATTCTCCGTTCTCTCGCACGCAGGCCGAGAATCAGGGCGTGGCGCTCACCGTCGCGCGCTACCTCCACAACGAGGAGGCGCACCCGCTGCGGCCGAGCATCCGTCTCGCGGTCAGCAGCAGCCTCACGCAGCCGGACCTCACCCTCGCGCTGCGTGTCATCAGCAACGCGTGCGCCAGCGTCCACCGCCGCGACCTCGACGCTGTCGAGTAGCCGCAGCGGCGCCACCTGCAGGTCGTCGCGCAGCTGTCGCGCCGTCTGGACACCGTCACATAGTGGCATCGCCTTGAGAGCGACGAGTACTGGCGCCACCTGCAGGCCGTCAAGTAGCGGTGGCGCCGCCTAGAGAGCGTCATGTACAGGCGCCACTCGGAGACCGTGGTGCCATCTGGTGGTTGACTTTGGTCGGTCGGTCGCGCGACGCCACTCTGTGATACGACGACAGTGGCGCGCGCGTGTAGGACAGAGGCTCTGCTAGGGGGCGTACTGGCGACCACGGCCAGGGAAAGACTCCGTAGCTCCGTATCCCACCCATCGGCTCTTTTCCGACGACGACGGGGGCTGGAGTGAGGGCGGGCCGGCTGGCTACAGGCATCGTTCCGGCGGGATTTTGCGCGGATGGATGTGGATCGAACGGAATGCAGGTTTCCAGACGGCATTCGTCGTGGCGGTGCGCGTCATTCTTACTAGCTGGTCGGCCGTAGTTTTTGGTTCTAAATTCGGAGTCCCGGCCTGGCGTTCTCGCGCCGCGGCTTCCGTTGCGTCGGGCGACCGCAGACGACAAGCCAACGCGCTCGCTAGATCAAAACGTCGAGTATATATATGTTATTTAATGCGGCGAACGTGTGTTCGATGTGTCGTCATTGATTTTTCGTAATTGTCAGCGTGCATGTTTTTGCGACGTGAGAACTCGTATCGCCGAGCCGTCGGCGATGACGTTGCGAGCGGTTTTAACGTTAGATGTCTGCTGCGCTCATTGGCTAATTTGAATGACCCATGATGTTGGTTTCCAGCTTCAACCGCGGAGGACAAACTACGCCTGACGCGTCGCGAGAATCGGCGATTTTTTTTCGCGCAACATTTGTTTCCCACGTAATTTATGACATCGTGTTTTAAAAACATTTTTATCGTAGTCGTTCTGTGATTGCGATCGGAGTTCTGCCAGCTAGGTTGTCAAGCCTTTTGTCAGATTAACCGCCGCAGGGAATGACTGCTGCGGCTTCGTAGGCATAGCTTTGGAAGTGATGTAATGCAGAATACAAATGAATGTGTTTTTGACTGTGTTGAAATCATTGTAAATACATTTTTTTCGTGGTCACAGCTCTTGACGGAAGCTTGTATGCAGTGAGGCCATGCATGCGTGTGCAACAGACGTCCTATGTTATGATGTGAAATCTAATATGTTTAATTAATAAAAATAAATTTTGTGATTACATGCATAATGTAAAGACATTTCAAATGCAAGGCGACAATTTTTTGTTTTGCAACATAGCATTAGCATACAAGGAATACTCCCTCATTAGCTCTCGTATTATAGTCCTCGTTGCCTCTGTCACAGCCACGCTGGCCACACTGTCTGTGGCAGTGCCAACGATGGCTATAGTACCAGATATACACCCTCATACATAGCATTTTTATAAAGGTTTATTGTGATTTCACCAAGACATTCTTCATCTAAGGTTCATTCATCATTGATAAAAGTATGAACACCTATTCTACTCTACACATTTTCTGGAGAAAAAGAACATTTTAATGTAACGATTGTTAGAAAAACTTCAACATGATACAAGACGAAAAATGTTAGCTTAGCAGAGCAGTACATACTATACACTGATCTCTACTATACTAATACTAATACAGTTAGAGATCCTATGGCTATAGTGATACTATAATAGCATACAGTGAAACAAATCTCCGCCAAAAGGTGGCGCTATAAGGCATACCCTGCAGCTTACGCTCTCGCTTCCCCATCGGGGATTTATTCGACAATCATGAGGACAGGAGTGTGGTATCTTCAGGAGATCATCCTGCAGTTACGTTCAGTAAGTACGTTTGATGGATCGTAATACTTAAATATTAGTGCTCATGTTGATGCGGTGATTTTGCTTATTTGAGTGCATTTATCCGCACATCGGTGCAGTGTCGTAAAATGGAATTGCATATCCTAGGTCCTTATGTTGCAGCAGCAGTGCACTTGCAAGTTGCAGGACTAGGCCTACTGCACTCATAGTATAGACAGTCACCATGTGTGTGTAAAATACTGTAAATTGTAAACTGTCGTTCACTGTAGTCTCTGAATCAGAACCAGTCTGATAGACTCGTAGGGGTTGTTCTCTTACCGATAATTGTAGATTCAAAGAATTATGGTTACTGCTGGTAATTAAGTCGACCACTAAAGCCAAGGCAAAGCTCAAGCCAAGGGGTCGTTGTCGTATCAGGTACTACAGTACAGATATAGACCCGAGGTAGATATATGTATACACAAAGTGTACCAGACTTGTACTACAGAAGTGTGCCCTAACCCTAACACTAACCCTAACCCTAACCCTAACCCTAACCCTAACCCTAACCCTAACCCTAAACATACCTCATATAAAAATATAAACATAATAAACAACCTAAAACTACCTCGGGTACATATCTGTAATACCTGATACGACAACGACACCATCTGCACCACTAAATTTCAGATTCAACATATAAATTATATTCGTCTAAAAGAATGTGCAAGATAGATGTAATATATTATCTATTGGCTTAGTATTGCCTATTGGTAACCTTTGTCTTTGGCAATATATTTGAGTATTGGCAGGTCACTGTGAAGTGGGGGGGGGGGGTCACTACAAAGTTGAACTAAGAAACGGGTTTTAAAATGGCCTTAGGACATAATGCTGTGCAAGTTGTAGGTAGTGAATGTCAATGCCACAACCACCTTCCATAATTATAGATCATAGCTTCAATTATCGGTGAAGCGGAAGTCGTTGAACTCCCCACCTGACGTCGGAGCGTGCGTGTGGACGCCGTGGGCTGTATCACTTGGAAAACTGCTATTGACGCGTTGACCATTTCCCTAATTCGACAAAACTTTGCCCTAATTTTCACCAATCAGAGCATGCCTAGCTGTCACCGCGGGCGGTGCCGTTAAACTTGTTTCCTTTTCCTGCGTTAAATTGACAAGGAACCCACCTAAGCCAATAGGTGATTATAGGTCACATGTCATCCTAGGTTGTAAACGCCAACCGGGACACCCCACCTTTATATATGAGGTTAACGATCCCACACAGCAGTCACAGAATGCCATCGTAAGTCACCAATAGCTTTCCTTTCTTTTGCTGTCATCGTTCTACAGTTCCAACAGCTTTTCCTGATTCACTTGGCTGTAGCCAGCTGTAGTTCAACGATTAATTAATGATGCCTGTGTGTATGATTTTTTTGCAGGCTCCTGCGTACCTACTCCTTCTCGAAGCGGTACTGCTGGTCTGGCTGATCAAAGTCCTGTTCTTCACAAAGAGCTACAAACCCCACCGGACGAAACTCACGCAAAAGGTGAGTAAAGAATATAGGTCAAGCGTGAATCGTGAAGTGTGAAATCTTGCTCATGGTAGACAGTGTGTCATGCAGTGAGCTGCCTGATGCCAGTCCCTCCTAAATTTTTGCCGTTGTTGTTGTTGGTAATTGACACTGACATCGAGTGCCCGTGCAGTCCCTGAGATAATAGTGTCGAACAATTGGTTTGTTCTGCAGGTGAAATCTGTTGTACCTGCACCCCCAAAATGTCTTCGGTCTGACAAGTCCAATGAGTTTCATATGTTCTGGTGCCTACATTCTTGTCATCCTCATGAATCCCTCTGATAGAGTTCACATTCCCAGTAGTAACCCAAGCCACGATTGCAGTATTAATGGGTGGTAGAATCTGTTGAAAAAATGATTTAAACTGTAGGTGTTTTAGTAGTATACATTTATTCATTAAACTAAATACTGGGTAAACAATCATTTAACCTTAGCCCAACGTGAAGGATCTTTTACGTAATTTGCTCAAGCACTGGTGACAGGCCTAAGATAAGATCAGATGAGATAATCATAAGATAATGAGATAATGAAGATCTATAAGGCCTAAGATAAGATGATCACACATATGCAAAAGTTCAGTATTGCGTAGGTCGACGGGCAAATATGTCGATGTATAGTGTACGTGTACACATATATATATACGCAACGTATCCATGATAATTTTTCACGTACTATATATTCACCATAAATGATAAACTATTGCCAAAATTTCTCCTTCCAGTATGCTTCACGAGTCACTTAAGTACATAAGCACCAAGCTGTTCCCCAATACTAACCATGTTGTGAAATCGTGCCTACCAAGAACATTTTTTATTTCACTTTTCATATCATTGGAATCAGTATATCATGTATTGTTTGCAAAAGTACCTGTATGCATATAAGCAAGATCAGTGCACCATAAATCCAAAAGCTGTCTCTTCCCGTCCATAAAGACTGACCGTGAAATCTTAGGTTGATTTAAAGCAAATGGACCGCCGGTAATCTCCTCGTGCACGTAGATATCATTAGGAGTCTATCATATAGAGATCTGTATAATCTCTATGTTATACACTCCTGATATCGTGACTCTGTGGGTATAGCCATGAACCTCACTTCCCCCCCCCCCACGCTGCTCATAGTCCGTGGTTTGCGACGCACGTGCTCGGGACAAGGCTATAGTTTATCCACGCGTGTGGACAGAGTTCAGGGTTCCTATTTTGTGGTGAGTGGTGTGATACACACGTGTGGAAAAAGTTCAGGGTTGCTATTTTGTGGTCAGTGGCGTGATACACGTGTGTACAAAGTCCATCCTGCAATTTGTTAGTAGCTTGACGTGTGTGTGTGTGTGTGTGCGTGCGTGCATGTGGGTGTGTGCGTGCGTGCGTGCGCGCGTATGAGCAAAGATTAGGATAGACATTTGTGAGTATCGTTTCCCACTTGTGTGCAAACTTTAGGGTGACCATTTGTCACTGGTGTGACACTTGTGTGTGTATATACAAAGTTCAGTACTTGGAGGAAGAAGGTACTATATAAGTTGTCTAAGATCTGAGCTGAATGTTCAGAAATGACAAAAAATGTCACGTCAGTCACTGTGGAATTGCCTAGATATACAAAGTTCAGTATGCCCACATGTTAGTAGTGGTACACGTGATGTGTACATGTACAAACTACAAAGTGCAGGATGTCCATTTGTGAGACTCATACATTTTATACCCTAGAATCCTAGATAAATACCCCCCCACCTTGAGCAATCGTGCGCGCGTGACAATATGCTGACAGACCCAGTTGGTTGCAATACGTAGATATACACTGCCCTTGCAAATTTTAAGAGTCCAATATTGCTAGTGCTAGCTGTTAGATATGCACAGATCAAATAATCATAGTGTAATCGCAAGGAATATTCGTGCTTGAACTGGTTTTTAGGTGTTTAGGCTTTGTTAATTTAAACTAGCAGACTAATACCCGTACAAAGACTAAATCGTGCCTTAAAATATAAACTTCATGTAAGTGACACAGTTGAAGTTAAATATTTCATGCAACTGAAAAGAAAACAGAAACAAAAAAACATTTTGGGAAGAAACAAAGAGCGCAATTCTATAAGTGAGCAGGGGAAAAAGTGCTCAGTTAGTGACCACTTGGCTGAAAGGAAAATACCGCAAAATCTATCTATCTATCTATCTATGTATCTATCCATGCATGCATGCATGCACGCATCCATCCATCCAGCCAGCCATCCCTCCATCCATCCATCCATCGCATGTCATGCCATGCCATGTCATGCCATCCCATCCCATCCCATCTCATTCTATCCCATGCCACCCCATGCCACCCATGCCATCCCATCCCATCCCATCTCATCGTCTTCTATCCCATCCCATCAGGAGTAAGATAATATAGGATCCTATATTATCTTACTCCTGATCCCATCCCATCCCATCCCATCCTATGCCATCTCATGGGATCCGATCTGATCCCATCGCAGTCGACCCCATATATAAAGAACATGAAAATAATAATAAATAATAATGGTAAAAAAATAGTAATTTTTAATTTTTTTTCAAATTTTTTTAATGAATGTAGTAAAATTTATTTTTTACATTTTGAAATTAATGCTGAAGTGGCAGAAGTAGATACTAAAGAGTAAAAAAGTAAAGGAGAAAATTTTTTTCCCCAGCTGAGATTCAAACTTGGAATCTCAGGTTATGAAACCGTGCTCCTACCGACTACGCTACGGCGGCAGGCAAGACACGCGAAATAATTTCCACGTACGTGATGATAGAATTTTGACTTTTACAATTTTTTGACTTTTTAACTTTTTTAAATGTTTGTCTCAGCCAGAACCAATCGCCCAGACGTGGTGATTCTGAATATATCTTCAGTTACCACGATTGAGTGACAAATGACAGAGAACATCGAGGTCAAACAAACACACACACACACACACAAGGTTATCCAAATTATAGTATAGATTATTATATAGTGCACATGTTTTATTCTGAACCAGTCACATATCAGTTGCTCATAAGAGTACGCTGTAATGCACCGATAGCAAGGAAAAGGGTTGGGAACAGGTTGCCAAGTGAAAAAACAAATTCCTAATGTGAACCTTGAGCAACTCATTGTAAGTGCAATGCCACATGTTGTCTCGTTGTGATCAGGGATCATCCAGCGGTCGCTCCCATCATGCTCCTCCGCACACCCTCCCACAGAACACCACGGTGCTTCTGGGTTCCGTCACTCGCTGAGGCCATCCTTAAAAAATTCTATGTTTGCTGTCCCCCGACCCATGATTTTTTTAGTGGGTAGGTAGGTAGGTCTTTTTTTGTGAGGCATAATAGTTATTTTAAGTCTGTCCTTATGTTTGCCATACATGCTTTGTGTGTCTTAACTATGAAAAATGTAAAAAAAAAAAAATTTAAATATGGAACCCAAAATGTAAAAAAAAACTTGGGTCGCGGCTATTTTCGTGGGTCGGTCAGAGGACAGCAAACATAATTTTTTAAGGATGGCCTGAGTGACTGAGCAGATCTGGGGCTTTCTGCGTGTTTCTGCATGCTCACTTGTCTGTCGTGCTGAGAAGACGGCGGTGACCCGTCTGCGTGCGCAGACACTAATAGAACGTTTCCATAGTAACATGAAGGTAATTAAATCATAATGTATCTACTACCAAACTCTTAACATTCGAAACGTTCCGAGCGTCTGCGTGTGCGTGCGATTGCCGTGTTCACCGTTTCGCGTGCGCTGACTCGCTGTGTGCTTGTCGCTACAGGAGAAGGAGGACCTGGTAGAGGAATGGACCCCGGAGCCACTAGTGCCGGATACTCCGGCCGATCACCCGGGCCTGCATCCCCGATCGTTCGAGGGGTGAGTTTGTGGCACGTCTGTCCGTCTGTCCCCAGCCGTCGACGCTTCCTTTGTCACCATCGTTACAATCTTGAACAAACATTGGTTAAAGGTGTATGAACTCGATCGTCTGATCACATGGGCAGGTCCGTTATGTGGGTAGTTTTATCCTGAATGATATCGAGTGGGCCATCGATCGGTAGTGCCACAAACTTATATATATATATACAATATTGTATGTGACTATGTGTATGGTCCTGGTACTACCTAATATCAAGAGGCAATAATGCCTAATTAGGGTATTGTTATCTCTTGCTAATATAGTTACTTATTAAATGCAAGGACAATCTTTGAGTTTACGTATTGAACCGCCACTATCACCACCACCACCACCACCACTTATCCCGAGCGGTCCAGTATAGCATTAGTGTGGCCTGATCATGTTGGATTAGAACACTTGAGAAATGCTGACGTTTCATTGCCTGCCCTATTATAAATGCCTAGTTGATAGTGTAATGTCAACAGCACACACTGGGAGGGCTAGAATATAAACATGAATAAACATGACATTTAAACATAGCATTAAATTTATTTGCACATGATTTCGAAACGTAGGAAAATCAACCTTAAACATTTGCGACTGCTTGCTGTATAAGTTTAGTTGTCTCTGCAATGTATCGTTCAAAAATAGATGAAAAAAATAACGAAATGGACTGAGTGATAGGTAATAGTGACGACTATCAATATATTACAAGTGGTAAAACTTGGTGTTGGTAAACTTTGATGGATACTCTAACAGCAATTGTCTAGCTGGTTGCTGTAATTTTGTAGCTATTAAGTAAGTATTGTATTAAGCCAAATGTTTTTTCTGTCCTAGGAAACTCGGAAAGATTATTCGAATCAATGGTCAGGATTGTATCAACCTGGCGTCTCTTAACTTTCTCGACATGAATGGAAACGAAGAAATAGAGGCGAGTAAATGAAAGGGCGATAATACTAAACATGATTATCTGCTGGCAATTTATACTTTAGTAAGAAGAAGGAGAAAAAAAGCAATATCAACAACAGCAACAACTACAACAACAGTAACAACTACAACAACAGCAGCAACTACAACAACAGTAACAACTACAACAACACAACAGCAGAAGTAACAACAACAACAACAACAACAACTACAACAACAGTAACAACTACAACAACACAACAGCAGAAGTAACAACAACAACAACAACAACAACAACAATAACAACAACAACAACAACAACAACAACAACAACAACAATAACAACAACAACAACAACAACAACAGCAACAACTACAACAACACAACAGTAGAAGTAACAACATTGACTACAACAACAACAACAACAACAACAACAACAACAACAACAACAACAACAACAGCAATGATACGAGTCATTGCAGTAAAAAGTAGTAATATAATTGCCATATAGGATTCCATCCACATTTGATTGCTCACACATCGAAAAACAACGAGTAATAATTGCTAACATCGTTCAGTTGTGGGGCATGGCACCACAGATTAGTGAAAAATCTAGCACCACCAAATCACGAGTTGTACCATGATGACATCTATTTTCTGGAATGCAGGCGGGTGCCATCAAGACCCTGAAGAAATACGGTGTTGGCGCGTGTGGACCCAGGGGTTTCTATGGAACGATCGGTGAGTATTTAATGAAGAGACCAGGAAAGTCCATGCGAATCCCACAAATCGCATCTATGGAACACGATCCAGTAGACGATTTCACGAGATTCTCACAGAAGTCGAGTCCGTTTGAAAACCGCTGCGACGCGATCTGTACCGCTGTCTCCTCTCTCACTCACAAGCTACACAGTTCACAGGGGCTCCTCTCTCTCCCCCACAAGCTACACAAAACACAGGGGCTCCTCTCTCGCCCACCGTCATACCGTGTGCGAACCTTGATTGTCGTTCGCTTGTCTTTGCGTTGTAGACATCCACCTGGAGCTTGAGGACAAGCTGTCGGCGTTCCTGGGACTGGAGGAGGTCGCGCAGTACTCCTACGGCTTCTCCGTGCTGTCCACTGCCATCCCCGCGTACGCAAAGTCCGGCGACGTAATCTTCTGGTGAGTCGAAACGCGATCGGCACAGGATCTCGAGTTATTTGCGAGCTTCTGCTCTTTTGTTCTCGGCGTGCGCGCGCGTATCCTTGCAGGCAGTGGCGGTCTAATGCGGCGCTTCGTAAATTATTTCGGTGTCATTCACCCTCGGGTCTTTATCGCAAAATTTCGTTCACCCGCGACTGAATTTTCTTCATGTTTTTGGTTTTTAAGTTTCATTTACCCCAGAATAATTTCATTCAACTTTTGGTGAACCATTCAGCCGTTTGAGAAGCACTGGTCTAGTGGGTAGCAAACTTCTCCTCGGGTGGAAACCTCTAGGGTTCTAGGGTTCACGCACGGCATCTTGTAACCTTGTTCCCCCGCCCCATCATTTCCGGCAGCGACGAGGGAGCGTGCTTCGCGATCCAGCAGGGCCTGAGAGCGTCGCGCTCCAAGGTGTGGTTCTTCAAGCACAACGACGCCGACGACCTCGAACGCATGATGAAGCTTCAGGACGACATTGACCAGAAGGTGACTGTCGGCGTAACCGCGGCAACCGCGAAATTAACGACGTCGAGTGGCGGTCCTCTGCGTTTAATTACGTTAACGACGCTTGTCGTCGTCGGCGCTGCATTACGTTTCATTATTCGTTGATACCGTCGCATTCTTTTTCTGTTTTTCGTTGTCGGGAAATTTTTATTGGAAATTCGATGCGTCATTTAATAGTGCAGCAGTTTGAGCTGTAGCACGGGAAAAGCTCCCACATTCTCTACCAAACCAAACCAACGACATTTCCTAATCCTATTCCAAATCTTTGCACTATCCCACTCGCAGGAGCATTATTCATATTTGCCAGGAACTAGTTGCAGATGACACTGTTTCCCCTGGCCAAAAAGGTCCGTTAGGTCGTAAAAAAATGTTGGTGTGTTTGCGCGTTTTGCGGTCCTAGCAAAGCGATCACCTGTGGTTGACTAGCAGAAAGTTTTAAAAAAAATAATGCAATTTGGTGCATTCTAAGCTGTTTTCGGTTTTAGTTCAATAAAGTGTATAGTTTATTAATGGAAGAACAGTGATTTTCGTCAGCGAGGCGGTGTTTGGGACAAATTTCTGTGTGGCGGCTGAGAACTTGAGCGAGGCGGCCCGCCTCAATACAGTGGAAACACTGAGATGACGTTTCGGTCGAATGCAGATCTCGTCGCAGCGTGCATCCTTGATTAGCGTTCGCTTGTCTCTGCCGGTCGATCACTGTGTTATTGTTGTGTTATTGTTATTGTTATTCACTTTGTTCACGACTCTTTCAGAACCCGCAGAAGGCATTGACGTTGAGACGGTTTCTAGTCGTAGAGGGCCTGTACATGAACTATGGGGACATCTGCCCGCTGCCAAAACTCGTAAGTGCTCCGAGTTGCACCAGCAATACATTGATCATTAGCTAATCATAAACCATGTCATGTGTTGCAGGTAACAGTCATCCTTTGAAATAAAGGAAGTTGTCAGAGAAATTTATGACTGTTACCTGGCAGTCGGTAGATGAGAACTTCTGTAAGTGTTGATCGACGGCTGCCGAGATGTCGAGGTAACAGCCGAGCGTCTCCGAATCTTCTAGGAGCTCCATTTGAGATGCTGCAGAGTAGATTCCTGAAACAGGAACAGGAGAAAATCTTACGCGTCTCCATGGGGGTTAGGTTCGTACGCAGCTACTGCAGTTAAGTCGATTGACGAGCAGTTAAACAGACGTTTAGTGAGGCAGTCTGAGTCAGTTAAAGCAAGATGTGCACTTGTTTTGCGTACAAACTTGCTCCTATTGGTCGTATTCTGCAGTTTTCGTTCTCGTTGTGATGTAGATCGAATTGAAAAAGAGGTACAAGGTCAGAATGTTTCTGGATGAGAGTTTGTCTTTCGGCGTGCTGGGTGCCAATGGGAAAGGAGTCACAGAATACTTCGGCGTACCTGTAAGTAGTGATATATTATATTATATTATATATATACGTGTACATATGCTGTATACAAATACATATAAATATACATATACATATATACACATACACATACACATACACATACACATACACATACACATACACATACACATACACATACACATACACATACACACACACATACACACACACACACACATACACACACACATACACATACACATACACATACACATATACATACATATACATATACATATACATATACACTTAAATATACATATACATGTAAATATACACATACACATAAACATAAATATACATATACTTATACATATACATCAGGAGTTAATAAAGACAAAGGAGTTTGACACGTATTTGGTACTGATTTCACTACATTTTGTCGTACGAGTTCGATGTGAATAAAAATACAAATGTATACAAACATGAGCTTCTTTTGTTCACTGGTCCTTATTCTATCTTCCGGTAGTATTACAAACCTCGTAGCTTTCTTTGTTTTGGCATAAATCGTACTCTTGCACGACATGGTTCTGACGTTATTTACCGTCGTGTGGCGTAGCCAAGCGGTAAATTCGCATACACAGCAACTGGAAGGAGGCGCGACAGAGATCGCGTCTCTCGTACGTTATCTCGCGAGAAATTTTCTCGTAGCTCGCAGTTCAAAAATGGCAGAGAAAGTTCATGCACGTAGAAATTCTTCAAAAACATCAGAACGCAGAATTGGCCGCAGGTGCAAACGGTGTATTGCTACAAGACCGTTAACGGCACTAGAGATAGGTGAAGTAGAGGACAAAGTTAATATGATCGATGTGGCAGAACTAGAGTGAAGCGTCAAAGCAAATGTGCAAGAACAAGAATTACATCTACAGCATGGACAACGCGAAGAAGTTTTTGTTCGGCTAACAAAGCCGAGTGATGACGACGTTAACTCTCGCCTTTATCACATACAGATGGTCATGATAAGTAAGGTGTAAACACATGTGTTTGCCTGCAATTGCATAGTAATGGTTGCTATGCAAAACACGTGCGAAAAGCTACAATCAGCTGGAGCGTCAATTTACTCGCTAACATTCATACACATCATTCCTCTGCGGGTGAAGTAGCTCAGATATTTTACCAGCGCAGCGTTTATTTAAAAAAAACTCCGGGATTCAACCATAAAAACAAGGCATTCTAACTATAGTTTCAATGTAAAATAGTTTTAATTTTTAAACCCAGCATGGGTGCAACGTAACTTAATTTCTAAGCGCATTTTCTGCACTCGGCTAGACTACGGCCTAAAATCCCTACCGCGCCTCCTTCCAGTTGCTGTGTATGCGAATTTACCGCTTGGCTACACCACACGACGGTAAATAACGTGAGAACCATGTCGTGCAAAAGTTCGATTTATGTCAAAACGAAGGAAGCTACGCGGTTTGTAATACTACCGGAAGATAGAATAAGGACCAGTGAACAAAGGAAGCTCATGTTTGTATACATTTGTATTTTTATTCACATCGAACTCGTATGACAAAATGTAGTGAAATCAGTACCAAATACGTGTCAAACTCCTTTGTCTTTATTAACTCCTGATATACGTATACATCAGAAGTAGATAATAGGGATTCCCTATTATCTACTTCTGATATACATATACATATACATATACATATACATATACATATACATATACACATACACATACATATACACATACATATACATATACATATACATATACATATACATATACATATACATATACACATACACATACATATAAATATACATATACACATACACATACACATATACATACACATATACATATATATATGTTGACATGAAACTAAAATTGTTGTTGTATCATACAACTGTACAATACTCTATTCATGCTTCTACACAGCATCATGTATGTGTGATAAAAATGGCTTTCAAGCAAAACTCTCCCATTTCAAAAGTTTTCATAAAACAAATTTGTCGACTGCTACGCACGACTACATAAACCACATCGATTTAGGTGTTCCATGCTCCGTTTTTCCGTTTAAACGGACGCAATTTGACGTTTGTTCTGCACGTGCGACGTTTAACCCTCCCCCTCCCCCCACAGATAACGGACGTCGATTGGATCGGGGCTTCGTTAGAGAACTGTATGGCAACAACCGGCGGATTCTGTGGCGGCAGAGCCTTCGTCATGAACCATCAGGTGAGTGGTGGAGCTCAGGACTCAGACCTAGCAGCGAACCCAGACCTAGCAACGACGACATCCCGCTTGTGCGTCTAACGTCGATTGCATAAAGTCCCTAGTGGCCGCATCGATGTTTAAAGGTTGTAGCTCAGTTAGTGCGAACGCGTTTACTGCATCGGTGCCTCCCCTCAAGTTTTCTTCGCGCTTTCCAGTTTGACGCCTAGTCGCTCACGTGTGGCTATCACTGATTTCTTCAGGAATTGCTCTTCAGTTTGTTGCTTAAATACTGCCGTCAATCTAAATTCCTTAATCTCTGTGCCTTCGCTAAATCTCTCGACTGTCCGTGTAGTTTCTTGAGTAGTTGCTGCTGTTCACCAATCCATCACTGAATCCTCGTGTTTCCCTGATATATAATCCCGTGATGATGTGAATTATTACCCAGATGCTCTGCACATGATCGTTAATATGCACGTGATGTTGATAAACATACATTGTCGTTAGGCTTGCATACATTGTCCTTAAGATGGACACATTGTTGTTAGGTCGGACACTTTATTAATTACTCACACATATTATCATCAAACCGCACACGTCGTTAAGCCGCGCGCGTCGTCATCATTGTCATTAAAGCGTGCGTGCATGCGTCATCATCATCGTCGTTAACGCGTGCGTGCGTTTCTGCCGGCAGAGGCTGGGAGGTCTTGGATACGCGTTCTCGGCAGCACTGCCCTCGATGCTGGCTTCATCGACGATCACCTCGCTCGAGCAGATGCAGCGAAGCCCCGACATGTTCGTCACGCTCGCACGCAACGCCACCTACATGCAGCAGAAGCTGGAGAGGTACGCGCATACTACGGCAGAAACGCACAGGGTAGTGAGGGAGGAGGTGTATGCACACAGGGTAGTGAGGGGGAGCGGTACGGTATCGCGGGGTAGTGAGGGGGAGAGGTATGCGCACACAGGGTAGTGAGGGGGAGAGGTACGTTATCGCGGGGTAGTGAGGGGGAGAGGTACGCGCACACAGGGTAGTGAGGGGGAGGTGTACACACAACACAGGGTAGTGAAGGCGGGTAGGTGTACGCACTACACAGGCGTAGATGAGGGGAGCGTGTACGCCACACACAGGGTACTGTTGAGTGGGAGTGTACACACACACAAGGCGGTAGTGATGGGGGAGCCGTGTATGTCACACACAGTGTAGTGATGGCGGGAGGTGTATGCATCACACAGGCGGTTGGAGGGATGGTGTACGCACACACAGAGTAATGAGGGGGTGTATGCACACACAGGCGTAGCTGAGGCGGGGAGGTGTTATCAGGACACAGCGGTAGTGAGGGGGGGAGGAGGTGTACGCACACACAGGGAGTGAGGGGGGGGGTGTATGCCACACACAGGGTAGTGAGGGGGCGAGGTGTATGCAGACACAGGGTAGTGGAGGGGGAGAGGTACGCATACACACAGTAGTGAGGGTGGAAGGTGTGCGCACACATAGCAGTGAGTGGGAGACGGTACGCGCATCACAGGGTAGTGAGGGGGCAGGTGTAGACACACAGGGTAGTGAGGGGATGGTGTCATTGGCACACACAGGGTAGTGAGGGGGGAGGTGTACGCACACACAGCCGGTAGTGAGGGGGAGTTGTGTACCGCACACACAGTATGTGAGCGTGGAGGTGTGCGCCACACATAGCACGTGATGTGCGAGAGGTACGCGCAACACAGGGTAGTGAGGGGACGTCGTACGCACACACAGTGGTAGTGAGGGGAGGTGTACGCACACACAGGGTTTAGTGAGTGGGGAGTGTGTATGCACACACAGCGTAGTGAGGGGGGAGGTGTACGCACACACAGCGGTAGTGAGGTGGGAGGTGTATGCCACACAGCGGTCTAGTGAGGGGAGAAGGTACCACACACACAGGGTAGTGAGGGGAGAGTGTACGCACACACAGGGTAGTGAGGGGGAGAGTGTACGGCACACACAGGGTAGTGAGGGGAGGTGATGGCATTACACAGCGGGTAGTGACGGGGGAGGTGATAGCACAACACAGGGTAGTGAGCGGGCGAGCAGTGTACGCGGCACACAGGGTAGTGAGGGGGAGGTGTACGCACACACAGGGTAGTGAGGGGGAGGTGTATGCACACACAGGGTAGTGAGGGGGAGAGGTACGCACACACAGGGTAGTGAGGGGGAGAGAGGTACGCGCACACAGGGTAGTGGGGGAGGTGTACGACACACAGGGTAGTGAGGGGGGAGGTGGCGACGCAACACACAGCGGTAATGAGGGGAAGGCTGTACGCATACACAGGGTAGTGAGCGGGGGAGGTGTACGCACACCACAGGGGTAAGTGAGGGGGAGGTGTACGCGCACACAGGGTATGTGAGGTGGAATAGGTGCACGCACGACACAGGGTAGTGAGGGGGGAGGTGTAATGCATCACAAGGGTAGTGAGGGGAGGTGTACGCACACACAGGGTAGTGAGTGGGGAGCGTGTACTGCACACAGAGGGTAGTGAGGGCGAGAGGTTACGCACAACAGGGTAGTTGAGGGGGAGCGGTGTATGCCACACACAGGGTATTGAGGGGGGAGTACACACACCAGGTAGTGAGGGGGAGGTGTATTCACACACAGGTACGTGAGGCGGGAGGTGCCACGCACAACAGCGGTAGTGAGGGCGGAGGTGTACGCACACACACAGGGTAGTGAGGGGATGGTTATGCATACACAGCGTGGTAGTGGAGGGGCGAGGTGTATGCACACACAGGGTAGCTGAAGGGTGATGAGGATATGCACACACAGGGTAGTGAGGGGAGGTTGTACGCACACACAGGTAGTGCAGGCGGGGAGGTGTACGCACACACAGGGGTAGCTGAGGGGGAGGTGTACGCACCACGCAGCGGTAGTGAGGGGGAGGTTGTACGCATCACACAGGGTAGTGAGGGGGCAGCGCTGTATTGCACACACAGGTAGTGAAGGGCGGAGGTGTACGCCAACACAGGGTAGTGAGGTCCGGGAGGTGTATGCACACTAGAGGCGTATGAGGGGCAGAGAGGTCACGCACAAAGGTAGGTGAGGGCGGAAGAGGTTTATGCGCACACAGGGCGTAGTGAGGGGGAGCGTGTACGGCAACACACAGGGTAGTGAGGGGGAGAGAGGTACGCGCACACAGGGTAGTGTGAAGGGGAAGGTGTTTGCCACACAGGTGTGAGGGGGAGGTGTACGAAACACCACAGGGTAGTCGCGGAGCAGGACGCACACACAGGTAGTGAGGGAGTGTATGCAGACACAGGGTAGTGAGGGGGAGGTGGTACGCACACACAGGGTATTAGTTGAGCCGGGAGGTGTACGCACACACAGGGTTTAGTGAGGGGAGGGAGCGTACACACACCACAGGGTAGTGAATGGGGGGGTGTACGCACACACGCGTAGAGTGAGCGGCGAGAGGTACGCACAACAGATGTGAGGGGGGAGGCGGGGTGTATGCAGACACAGGTATGTGAAGGGGGAGGGTGTACGCACACACCAGGGGTAGTGAGGGGGAGGTGTACGCACACACAGGGTAGTGAGGGGAGAGGTACACACACACAGGGTAGTGAGGGGGAGGTGTACGCACACACAGCGTTAGTGAGTCGGGGAGGTGTATGCCATACACAGGCGGGTAGTGAGGGGGAGCGTCTGTACGCACACACAGGGTAGTGAGGGGGGAGGTGTTAGCAGACACAGGGTAGTGAGGGGGAGGTGTACGCACACACAGGTAGTGAGGGGAGGGTGTACGCACACACAGGGTAGTGAGGGGGGAGAGGTACGCACACACCAGGGTAGTGAGGGGGATGTGTACGCCACACAGCTGTAGTGAGGGGGGAGCGGTGTACGCACACACAGGGCCAGTGAGGGAGATTCGTGTATGCACACACAGGTAGTGAGGGGGAGAGTGTTACGCACACAGAGGGTAGTGAGGCGGGAGGTGTACGCACACACAGGGTAGTGAGGGGGAGCGTGTACGCACACACAGCGTAGTGCAGGGGGGAGGTGTACGCACACACAGTTTAGTGAGGGGGGTGTATGCACACACAGGGTTAGTGAGGGGGAGGTATTGCCATACACAGGGTAGTGAGGGGAGTGTATGCATACACAGGGTTAGTGAGGGGCGGGAGGTGTACGCACACACAGGGCGTAGTGGGGGGAGGTGTATGCACACACAGGGTAGTGGAGGGGGAGGTGATATGCACACACAGTGGGTAGTGAGGGAGGGTGTATGCATACACAGCGGTATGTGAGGGGGCAGCGGTGTACGCACACACGGGTAGTGGCGGGGAGGTGTACGCACACACAGGGTAGTGAGGGGGAGGTGGTACGCACACACAGGGTTAGTGAGGGGGAGCGTGGCCAGACGACTGTGCGTACGCACACAGAGGGTAGTGAGGGGGAGGTTGTCGCACACACAGGGTGTGGAGGGGGAGAGTGTACGGCACACACAGGGTAGTGAGGGGGAGGGTTGTACGCACACAACGGGTAGTGAGGGGGAGGTGCTACGCACACACAGGGTAGTGAGGGGGGAGAGGTGTACGGCACACACAGGGGTAGTGAGGGGGAGAGGTTACGCCACACATAGAGTAGTGAGGGGCGGGTTTATGCCACACACAGGGTATTTGGAGGGCGACGGTGTATGCATACACAGTGGTCCAGTGAGGGGGGCGGGGGAGGTACGCACACACAGGGTAGTAGGGGGATGGTGTATGCATACACAGGGTAGTGAGGGGGGAGGTGCCACGCACCACACAGGGTAGTGAGGGGAGGTGTACGCACACACAGGGTAGTGGAGGGGGAGCGTGTACGCACACACAGGGTGTGCAGCGGGGGAGGTGTCGCACACACAGCGGTAGTGAGGGGGGGTGTACGCACACACAGGGTAGTGAGCGGCGGAGGTGTATGCACACACAGCGGTGGGTATGAGGCGGAGGCGGTACGGCACACACAGCGGTAGTGAGGGGGAACGGTGTACGCACACACAGGGTAGTGAGGGGGAGGTGTACGCACACACAGGGTAGTGAGGGGGAGAGGTACGCACACACAGGGTAGTGAGGGCGGGAGGTGTACGCACACACAGGGTAGTGGGGGCAGTGTATGCGAACACACAGGGTAGTGAGGGGGAGGTGTATGCATACACAGGGGGTAGTGAGGGAGGTGTACGCACACACAGGGTAGTGAGGCGGGAGGTGTACGGACACACAGGGGGAGTGAGGGGAAGTGTGTACGCACACACAGGGTAGTGAGGGGGGAGGGTGGGTACGCACACACAGAGCGTAAGTGGAGGGGGAGGTGTACGCACACACCAGGTAAATGAGGGGGGCAGGTGTTACGCACACACAGGGTTAGTGCAGCGGGAGGTTTGTACGCACACACGAAGTGAGGGGGGAGAGGGTGTATGCATACACAGGTATGTGAGGGGCGAGGTGTACGCACACACAGTGGTAATGAGGGGGCAGGTGACGCACACACAGGGGTAGTAGGGGGGAGGTGTACGCACACACAGGGTAGTGCACGCGGCGAGGTGTATGCACACACGAGGGTAGTTAGGGGCGGAGGTGTACGCACACACAGGGTAGGTGAGGGGGAAGGTGTACGCACACAACAGGGGGTAGTGAGGGGAAAGCGTGTATGCATAACGGGTAGTGAGGGGGAGAGGTACGCGCCACACAGGTACAGTGAGGGGGAGGTGTATTGCACACACAGGGTAGTGAGGGGGAGGTGTACGCACACACAGGGTAGTGAGGGGGAGGTGTATGCACACACAGGGTAGTGAGGGGGAGGTGTACGCACACACAGGGTAGCTGAGGGGGAGAGGTTACGCTGCACACGAGGTTAGCGAGGGGGAGGTGTACGCACAACAGGGTTAGTGAGGGCGGGAGTGTACGCACACACAGGCGCTTGTGATGGGGGAGAGCGTACACACACACAGGGTAGTGAGGGCGCGATGGTGTAATGCCCCAACACACAGGTTAGTGAGGGGGAGGTGTACGGGCACCACCCCAAAAACAGGGTAGTGAGGGGGAGAGGTACGTTATCGCGGGGTAGTGAGGGGGAGAGGTACGCACACACAGGGTAGTGAGGGGGAGGTGTACGCACACACAGGGTAGTGAGGGGGGAGGTGTACGCACACACAGGGTAGTGAGGGGGAGCGGTACGGTATCGCGGGGTAGTGAGGGGGGAGAGGTACGGTATCGCGGGGTAGTGAGGGGGGAGAGGTACACACACACAGGGTAGTGAGCGGCCGTGATGTGGGAGGAGAAAGAAGGAAAAAAGGGGGGTGGAAAGAGCCTGTCGTATGCACGTAGAAGGAAAGGTGATTGCGAAATTTCTGCTCGCTTGCGTGAGGTCATAATAAAATATACGCTTATGTACGATTGACAGAATGTAAACGACTACTTGGGGGGGGGGGCTGCATCTGGGTATAGTCGATTATGGTGCAAGCAAACACTGTTACCTGACAAGGAGGGGAAGGTTGTAAACTACATGAAGTTTGAACCAACTGATATTAACGGTTCTATCTGCTAGCATAGTTGAGTAATGCTAAATGTCTGAGGCTGTTTCTTTGTTGAACCTTGCGCTGTAGATGGCAGGGAACAGCGGTGGCGAAGCCTTGCACTGCGGTATAATCGTTGCATAGTGGGAGAATCACGTAAAAGATTCATGAAGCACCTCGAATTTTCATTATATGGGTTAAAGAATCAATATGGCCGGCGACGATTTAGGTATTCGCTTGTTTTGTAGCATACCGGGGATGACGTTGAAGGGATTGCCAATTTCTCCCATAAAGCACCTCAGTCTAGAAGGTTCCATGGAAACCAGGAAGCAGGAGGTCTGTCTGTTAGAGGAAGTTGTACAAGAGGTATGTTTTTTTTAAATAATGAAATTGGATTTCCTTGTACGATATCGGGTGTTTAATTACGAGGTAAATCCAAAATTCGTTACTGATGCTACAGTTTCAACAACCAGTCGCCATGGTGTAGAACGTATGATTATTCACGTGACCTTCGTGGTGACCTTGAAAGAGAATTGTCGTCTGTATTGTTATATAGTTACTAGAATAACAAGGCTGTCAGTGTTGGTCACCATTTTTTAATTCTTGAATTGAAATACTTTATTCAAAATTGCTCTCCAGCCATATTTGATGATGTTAATGTTCTTTTGTTTCTAATGTGCTCGTCATCTGCTGCCTTATGGTTTAATTTTGTGGTCTCCTTTCAATGACAGGCTGAGAGTCGTGGTGTTGCTATTGTCCTCGCACGTTACCTCGATGACATGGAATACATATTGCCAAAACCAAGGTGAGTAGTCGATGAAATCGTTCATACACATACGCAGACTGTCGCGTTCTTGTCAAATTGCTCGAGCATCTACGCTTCAAGTAACACAGTAAAATTAAAGCAATCTAAGTAAATTAATTTATTTAAGGAATTTAAGTGAACATAAGGAACTTTAGTAAGTGTTCAGTTGCCACTAACTGGAGAGTTGACCGCGTCGCGTTAGCTACGGCGATGTTGAGGCGGTAATCGTGGTGACGCGTCTGTGATGTCCGTTTCAGTATTAGGGTCGCGGTGAGCAGTGGCTTCAGTGTGGAGGAGCTGAGTCGTGCTGCGGACGTCGTCGCCACGGCCTGCGCCACGGTCCTCGCGCGACACCGCGGTGTCGAAGCGAACTGACGTGCATGATTCATCATCATCGTCAGCTCACTCAGAAACGCCATTGTCGACGTTACGCCAGCGTAGGCGGCCACTGCTCCTGACAGAATAGGTTGTTTTAGCGCAGACGTTACACGTTCGAAGTGGGGAAAGCTGGACTGTGTGTCAATGCTCTGCCACCATCTTGCCCACACCGCGTTATTGCCCTTTCATGTAGTCATGGTGAAGTAAGTGTACTTCATCATCGTGAATCTTGGAGTAATGTCATCGGGTTTCGTTGTTAATATTAGATGATTTTACTTCGGGAGGACGGCCGCGTTGGTTAAAATTTGCGACTCGTCTCGAAATTAAATCGTCGAGTAGTTTCATTACTGTGGGTTTAAAAAAAAAAAGAATTGGTTGTTTTAAAAGGTGGACGTTGCATACGTACTAGTACGTAAACATTTACGTGTTTAGTATCACTGTAGTTTTATCTTGACTGATATTTAAGTCTGTCATCATAATGGGCCATCAATGAGCCACAAGGTGATAGCGCTATTGATATGATATGCCTGCAGTGGATGATACTACAAACTATTCATTTCAGGCAGGTGGTAAGGATTTTTTGAAACCTTGAGCAGTTGATGTGAAGACTACTGACATAATTGAATAGATGACACCAACCAAATTTATTTGGGGCCTAAAAGTGTGGCATCTTAGTTTACAGTTCCAAAACTGCTGGGACTCGTAACTTATACCTTCATCTAATTTCATTTTTACCAATCCAACCCCTTATTTTCTATTGAGTAGAAGCCCCGTGTTGTCAAAGTAAACTACTAAAATTGATTTAATTTTTCTCGCGAAGTCCGTTTGCTTTCTAGTCTCGCATCCTTCAATTACACCTCGAAGGCCAGTGCGATACTGAAACTTGTCTTGTGTCTTATGACCGACATGGCCTGCATCCATTGTAATTAGGATAAACCTAGTCGCACAAATGCAAGTGATAACGGATCATGATGGAATTTTCAGGACGCAACGCAAAGACGAAAAGGGAGATTTTTTGTTGTTTAATCATCAGCCGTAGGTCCAGTGGAATCCGAGTACGTACGCCACCTGATGTGACGATGGCACTTTAAATTGGACGCCTTAGTTAATGGATTGGGCTCAGTGCCGTGCGCGTGCACAGTAACTGATGACAGTTATACGGGTGCCAGTTGTCAGAAACATCTAGTCTGAATGTCTAGAATGTCGTGACTTTTGCACGTGAAGTGTTGTGGAAAAAAGTTTTTGTTGACATCTTGGACTCGCGATAGTCATAACTATTTATGGCGTTTCTAACAACTGGCACTCGGTTATTTATTACTTATTTGTATCGCCCCGGTGTTGTGACGTCAGAAATCACGACGTACCAACTTAATGGCGATTTGACACAGAGATACACAGGGTTCACCGGCGGAAGGTGTCAGTCGATGAGTGAGAGAGCGGGCTGGATCCCGTTTCTTCTTATCGCGTCGCCACGACGACGACACGCGGACACCGCGTTACATGAGATTGTACTGCCGTCATTGTGACGCGCGGGTGCCGTGGCAGAGCATCTCTTTCCTTAGCGTATGTATGTATGTATCTGTGTATGTGCGTGCGCTTGCACGTTTGTTTGATGGACGGACGGAAGCATTGCAGGGTTGATGACTCGTGAGCACCAGCCACCACAAGCGTGTGTGAATCCACCCGCTTCGTCGGTGCCTTGCGGCGGCCATCTTTCGAGCGGCGGTGGCTTCCGCCGCTGTGGGTGGCAGCTCGCAAGTACCCGCGTCACCTCCACGAAGGTGTCGCCAGTATGACGCCCTGGCTTCAAGAGCGCGAAGATGATAGCGAACTGCGCGGCGGCGGCGATGGTGGCGCCCTCTTAGTCAAGGTCGCGATCACGGGCCGCGTCGTCATGTCGAGCCGTCCGCCGGCAGTGCAGTTTCCGGAAAACTGAGCGAATGAGTCTTCGGCGCGTTTCTGCGTTGTTGGTTTGATCAAACACTGTACTGTGTACAAATCCATGTCGATGTGATTTTGTTTGTGTTTTGAGATTACCTGAGTGTATCCGTTTGTAAAACGGACAGTCGTGGACGCAGGAACTTTCAGTGCGGCACACGTGAGCACAATTTGTACTTATTTTTTATTGTATTACTCAGAATTTTCATTGTAAAATTGTATTTTTAAAACGTATTGTGATCGAAAGGCCAAACATAACTGTTTTTAGCTTTCATGGAAGCAGTCGTGTGTCATTATAGCATTCATGATTCATGACAGAAACAAGAATGAAGTATTAGCAGTCAAACTGTAATGGGAACCATTCCGGCGGGCCCGAATCGTGACGATTACACGACATTGTGTTATTGCTTTTGCTCTCGTTTCTTGAGATTACTGGTCGTCAGTATGTTAGAATACGTAACGTGCTCTGTGAGTTAACCCGTCTTCGTTCCCAGCTATGAAATATGTACTCATGCAGTTACGTTGGTGACCCCCCCCCAAAGCTAACGGCATACACGAGTCTGAGTGACACCTGAATGAGAGTAGTAGGTCTTTGTGACACATTGATAGAGTTATTAACCAAAGGAAATTGTACCATTATGGAAATTGTGATCAAGCGTCAGTAGCGAATAGGGATAGGCTGTGGGTCACAGTAGCTCAGTTGTCAAAGCCCTATATGGTCTGAGGACAAAAAAAAAGAGAAAAAAGGGTCATAGCTAACTGTTTTGATAGGTAACATCTGTGAGTATGAAGTGCAAAACTTTTACCAGTGTATGTGAAGTGTCTGTCACTGAGTGATGACTGGTCACGGTCAGAACATGAACATGGTAAGATGCAGAACGATCAACTCTACATTTGTTACCAATTTAGTGAAAGCATCTGTGGGCATTTGAAGCACTCCTGAACTTATGGGTAAAACTTGCCAATTGTCACCAATGAAGTACTTGTCATTTTCTTTCACTGGGTTACTCTACGAGAGCTGGCAATTTATGTATGTATAGTCAGTTAGTTATTGGTAACATTTGCTCATCTCTTTATCATTTTATTATCACGTTTTGGTATGTGTTAATTCGTTAGTGCTAGAATGCACATTAATTTATGGACATGATGTTTAGGCAATGATTTGTTTTAAAAATAAGAATGTTGTAATTTCTAATCTCGTGTCCGTGAGCTGATGAACACTACTCACTAGAGTAGAAGTTACAGTCATCGACTACAGTCCCGTAATGAAATAGCGAGGTTTGCTGACGATTAATTGTTGATCAAGACATTTTTCTCTCGTTGTTAATTTCTAAAGCATTAAGAATTGAGTTGTTCATTTGAAACGTGTTTCTTTTTCGTCTTACAAAAATACATTTGACACTAATTTTATGCGATTTTACCACAGGGCCTCGCACGGCAATATTATATAAAATAAACAGCTGTTATGATCACGTATATCATTGTTCACATGTTTGTGATAACTTTTTAATCATATAATATCTAACCGAGTGGTAATTCGAAATTATTTAAATGATTTATATTCGCATCATTTACAACAGCTATACATTGATAATAATGAATATACAAAACACAAAGTCATGTGAATATCAAAATGTGGGAACATATAATACTGTACATTTTAGAAAGTTAAAAATTATACGCTTATGATACATGTTGAGGAAACTTCCAAGCACATCTATAGATAGATGACTGTTCTCCACTAGCCGCCAGTCTGTTCCTGAAAGACCTCTATGGAGTCCCCTTCTTGCATCTCCATAGTCTCCGGTGTGTCATCTGGGGTTACCGGTGTGCCATCGAACACAAAGCGCACCTGAACCAACAGGTAATAATACAGCACAGCAGTTAGTGTTATATCATATAATATAATATAATGAACTTAAAGGTGGAGAATATAATTAAATTAAGTACCGAGTTGTAACAATGTAAGCTGGGATTTATTATGCTTGAGGTATATATTTATGCTCCACTGGGAGTGAAGAGGATAAGTAAGTAAGTAATCACTGATCATTTAGGCTGATGGTGATGATCACTCTCAATGACTCCTAGGCTCCTAGCAGGAGATAAATGTACTTCACTAAATAATGTCAATGACAAATACAATCGAAATCTGAATTGTAGCACCTAATATGACGACTCATTGTCACTGACTCACGGTTAGTGACGCAGATAAGGTCTATGTCCCCCTGACCTCTGTTTGACCTGGCTCATTTAGCTATTTCTGACTAATATATATATATAATATATTTAGGGTTAGGGTTAGTCAGAAATAGCTAAACGAGCCAGGTCAAACAGATGTCAGGGGGACATAGACCCTACGAGCGTTAGTGACAGTGAGTAACTGTGAGTACGAGTACAACTACCACTTATAGTACTAATAGTAGTACTACTAGTAGTAGTACACTACGCCAGCCTGACTAGTCACAGGCACTTGAAGCGTTTCAATAAAATATAATGCTAAATAAATACGAAATTTATTTACTACCAAATTCTTAATGTTTCTATATACTCTCTTTCACCTATTATTGCCGACAGTTTCCAGTAAATTCCGTCCAAATCCTATTAGATACAATAATGTAACCCAAACCCAGGATAGGGTTACAACGCGTCGCTATGGTTTTCTGTGGAGGAAATTCAGGGAACCCCTGAGTGAATCACTCAGGGCGGTTTGCTGGTGCGTTTTCAGAGACTAGAACTTCCAAACTGGGTTTATTCTCAACACGAACCTTTCTCCGCTATCTTGGAACTTACTATGTATCACAATACTCTGTATTAAACTAATATAACCTGTTACAAATATTCGAAATGACGAGCGGCGAATATACCGAGCGCCATTTCTGTTGACCTGTGACGTATTTCGTTTTGAAGAGCGGATTCATCGACCAATCCAGGGCTCGAATTAACCGACGGCACCGACGGCAATTGCCGGCGGTGCCCCTATCAATCGCCGTACTGCCCCTGAAAATCCAACCCGACCGACGGCAGTGACCTGCCTTGCCCTTTTCTGTAATTGCCGTCGGTGCCTCTGCCTCTGGCTAGACTGGTTCGCGGCCGCACTGTTTGTCGCAGAGCGTTTACATTCTCTAGCAGAGCGTGAGGCCGGATACCAGTCTACCCGGCGGCAAAAACAATAACGTGGTATTGCTGCCAACCGCTGCCAGTAGACGATTGATAAATAGTGCACCTGTGTATGCCCGTGGTAGAACACGAATATTTAAATGCTGCACGCCCGGACTCGGCCCGCGTGCGATTAAAGGGCGGGAAACGACGCTCGCGCAAGAATGGCCAGTGATCTGTACGATGTGTAGCTTGCTAAGTGCAGTAAATTTAGAGAAATTTTAGTAGAATTCATACGATGACACAAAGTTTTCCATAACAATGGCCTTGGTGCCCTTCTCAAATTGTGAGAGTTGCCTTGATGCAGGCTTTCAGATTTGAAAAGTACAGGAGGACTACTAATGACTCCCCTAGGACACCATAGGGGGTCTTTTCGCGCTCCATAATCACACCCTTAAGAGGCATGATGGAGAGCTCCACTAAAAATCACACCTTTAAAAGGGATGATGGAGAGCTCCTTGAGGGCTCTCCATCATGCCTCTTGGGGTGTGATGATGGAATCATGACCAATCCTCATGCAGTCTAGAGTGAAATCCAAAACGAAAATTGGGATGTAATGTCAATCTACTGATTATCATTCATCTTCACCTTCATTCATTCAATATCTGGCTTCGTCAGGATTAGCGCGTGCCTTGAGGCTGTTTTCCCTGTCCATAGAGTTGTCAAATGTTTGCAATGGATTGCGAGCCCTGAGTGGATTACTATTCTAGCCAACTCTTAGTTTAGTAGCGCAATGAGAATGCCAACTTTCATACACCCTCGCAGGGCTCATTTTAACAAGTCGTCCGTGACGGACTGGCTTTTTCTCTCGGGGCAACTACCAATTGCTTCCGTGTGTTGTCCGGTGTCCAACCTTATAAAAATGTTATATTATTCATAATGCCGCTGCGTTTCATTTTACATACGGGCCAGCGGTTTGCACAATACGCGCCAAACGTACATGCTCTAGACGCATTTGTCCTGGCTTGCCTTGATACAAAGTAATAACATTACGTTGTTTAACACACAATGTTTCGTGTTAATTTTTTTTTATATTTTTTGCAATTTTTCTCATCTGTGACTTGACACATACTCATACTAGTGTTAGTAATGTAGTAGTGTTAATGTTAGTAGCTTAATGTAAATGCTATATGAAATAAATTTATGCAACTTTTAATTACTATTACTTATATCGTCATATGATCCGCAGCATCATATTCACATGTAGCAATATATTTTATTATCTCAATTATAATGAGTGAAACTCAATGCGAAATGACCATGTCTGCTGTCACTGCAATACGTCAAAATGTACATGATTAGGCCTTATTGCTTTATCAGCAACTGAGCAGTCACGGAGCAGCAGCGCATGCAGCACAAATGTATAAATAATATCCGGACAAACCCAAAAAAACCTTAAAATTTGAGCACTGACGCATTCGTCGTATGGCAGGACCTTTTAAGAATGGCAGACCTTTTAATGCGGTGTGATTTTTAGCTGGAGCCTCCCCATCATGCCTCTTAAGGGTGTTGATTTTTTTAATGAGCTTCTTCACATCATGCCTCTTAAGGGTGTGATTTATGGAGCGTGAAAGTCCCCTATGGTGTTCTAGGGGAGTCATTTGTAGTCCCTCCTGTACTTTTCAAAATTCTGAAAGCTGTTACCCCAGTTCGATTCGTGTCAGTCATCTTCTCCCTGCTAACCTTGAGTCGTGAGGCGAATGTAGTGTAGACTGTAGTGAGAGATTAGGCATATCATTGTCAAGATTCTTTAAATTATGGTCTATCCACAGCCACAGGCACTTGAAACGTTTCAATAAAATATAATGCTAAATAAATACGACTCGTAATAGCTTAGTAGTAGTACTACAAAATTCTTATATGCTTTCTATACTCTCTTTCAACCTATTATTGCCGACAGTTTCCTGTCAATGAACAATTTCCGTGTAAAACCCATCAGGCACTTGAAGCGTTTCATACTGTAAAACACGCCGCGCCATTGCTGCGCACACTGACACATAAATATATAGCATGGGTGAGAAAGCCGCGATCCCAAAAATTCGAGCAGCCGCATTTTCTCACGAATTTCAACACAAATACAGCATCCAACAGCTCCATTCTTTGTTTTCCTTCAAGAAACATGTTCACTTGTTATACAAAACGAATGTCCTCTGCTTCGTAACCGAGCTGTGTCCCCGAAAATCACACAAGACATGACGAATTCTCCGTTTCGCGCTAGCACTGCCGCACCGGGATGGGTAAACGAACGTTTTCGCCCATGGTTAGAAGGCGGCGAAAAGTTCGTTAACACGCGTGGCGCAGTTCGCGCTTTCTCACCTGCTATATATTTATGTGTCAGTAGTGCGCCGCAAGGCGGCGCCGGGTAGTGTTTACATGAAAGCGCTTCAAGCTGCCTGTGTGTAAACCCAGCAAACAAGGAACATTTCTCGTAAAATTCGCTGGAGGTTCTAGTTTGCGCTTTACATTAGCAAAATATTCTAAAGAACATTCCCATATCGTTATGCATTTATTGGTTTACTGTGAGAGAGTTATGTTCTTGGAATGTTCGGAAAACGTTAACCCGTCCTCGGCATGGGCACGAAAAATGCCGCGTTTTTGTGATGTTTGCCAAACTATAGCACAGGTATCAAATGTATTTTTGTTCGCAGTGGCTACTGGGACGGTAGCCGATCTTAATGTCCTCGAGGCTACGGGTTACGGTAGTCCATTTGCGCATAGCATCGCTTTTCCAACAAAATAATGTCGTTGCACATACTATTAATTAATCTCCAGCCTAAGTAATTAATTAATTAATTAATTATTAATTAATTAATAAATTAAGCTAGCCTACACTAGTTTGTTTGGGATTCGATTGTCAGTTCAAAGAAACAGTTCAGTTCAGTTTGTTGTTGAAAGCCAAAGATTATATACGCCATTAGATTAATTTAATCTGTGTTTTAGATATGCTATCATATTACAGACTGCGAGTCGCCGCTTATAAATTTTGTCGGTTAAGCGTTAATGATAGGGATATGTTATACTGCTTGTACATTGTTTGTTGTGTTGTGTGTGTGTGATTGTACTGCCGTACTGGAGACATTAAGATAAGACTGCAGCGCCATACGTAGTGTTGCTGCATTTAATATGTCATTTTTGGAAGTTGATCAAATGTTAGGGGTCCGATGAGTTGATGTCATGGTTCTCGTCAGCTGCCGCGCATCTAAATTTTACTCCCGCACCAAAAAAGTTCAACACTTCATCGCTGACGATAATTCGCCCATCAAAAAGTTCCACGATATGAAATTTCCCGCTAAAAAATCAGCAATCTAACAGTCAGCGCA